ATAAGTGATGTGCTCACAACTGGATTGCAATGTGTGCTAACGTATGTCATGTATGTGTGATGTACTGCATCCCCCTGCTAACAAGTCTTGTTATCACACATTGTCTACTAACTCCTACAAAATATGTACATGGCTTCATATGCGGTGCCATAAGTGTTATAGCGTCTGGTCTGGAATATTACAGCACAAATGTTTCAACCATGATACGATGTGCGTTGACACATGTGCTTTCACCCAAGCATGCGCATCATTGCATGCGCACATAAATCTTGTCTTGCCGGGACGTGTGCGGTGCCTGCTTGTATGTATGGTTGCACATGTGTTGTCATGCGTGCTTTCGTTTACGTGGCTTTGTGTGATACCCAAGTGTGGTTCCTCACGTGTTTTTTGACGTGCGCCCATATGGCCGAGTCCAGAAACTGTGGAACCAAACATGCTGACGTCTCACCTTTACGTCCGCCGCCCGCCGCCGGCTGAAACGGCCCCCAGAACCCACTAAGAGCCCCCCCCCGAGCGGGCAGATGACAGCAAACTGTTGCACCATCACCACCACCACTGAGCCATGCATCCGGCGGAACGCGTGGGCGGAAATGCCGCAGGCTGAAACTTTCGCAGGTGTTCAGAACATGTGGAACGCAGCCGCTGAGATCGCCCAACACGGGCCCGGGATTGGCCCCAGAGGCGCCAAGGCAACTCCCAGACCGCCGAGGGTGGCCCAGCAAGCCACGAGGCCCCAATATGACCCCCAGAAGCTCATTCCCAAAGATGCCCCCGAGAGCTTTGTGGGCCCCGGAAACGGCAGGGCCGTTTTTCACCGTTTCCAAAAAAATGTCCCTTGAAAATGGAAACGGCAAAAAAACGGCGACCGGAAACGGCAAAAAAACGGCTCCAGGATTGGAACCGGAGCCGGAACGGGTCAAAAAACGGCGACTGAACCGGTAAAAAAACGGCGTCGGAACCGGCAACAAAACGGCAAAACGGAACCGGTAAAAAAACGGCCCTGTCGTTTCCAGGGCCCACTAAGCCTGAGAGGCCTCAAGATGGCTCCACGAGAGCCCTTACATAGATGGCCCCAAGAGGGCATCCGTCTGCGGTGCCGGCGGCAGCAGGCGCAGCCTATGAGACACAGGGAGGGGGGACACGTGCCAGCGCCCTCGCTGGCCCCGCCAGCAGGTGAGCAAGCATACAGTCATCGGCCTGACGTAAGGAACGATACATAAGGAACGCAGCCCCGTTTTTATCCCAAGGAATAACGCATAACGACCGATAAATAACAAATAACGCATAAGGAACTGTAAATAACGCATGCAAGCCTAAGGAACGACCGAGCCCCTTTTGAAAAGTAAGCGTTCCTTATTCAAGCCGCTCACTGTGGCCAGCTGTAGCCCGCCTGGAACGCAGCACGGGCCAGAGAGAGTTATCTGCGACGTACCCAAACCCATCTCCACGCGAGGCGAATATTCGCGTGGACGCTCCAATACAAAAGAACACGGATGAGATGCGCTGCCCTCCTCTCCGCCGCGCCTACCAGGAGCCCACAAAAGTGGCGTCAGTTACGCAGCTCGCAATCCCCCAGGGAGCTGCGAGGTCCCGTCTGCATGCGCGTACTCCCGGACCCCGCTCGACCTCCCAGGAGCCTACGAACGTTGCGTCAATTGTGCAGTTCGCAGTACCCCAGGGAACTGCGAGGTCCCGTCTCGATGCGCGTACTCCCTGACTCCGCTGGACCTCCCAGGAGCCCACGACAATGCCGTCAGTCGTTGCGCAATTCGCAGCCACGAGGTTCCGCCTAGGTCCGCGTACTCCCCGACTTCCTTGGACCTCGCAGGAGCCCATGAAATTTGCGACTGTTGCGAGGACCCCAAAGGAGCTGCGATGTCCCGTCTGGATGCGCGGACTCCCCGACTCCGCCTCTTCCCCCCAGGAGCCCACGAAAGTGGCCGCAATTGCGCACTTCGCACTTCCCCCAGGGAGCTGCGATGTCCCGTCTGGATGCGCGTGCTCCCCGACTCCGCCGTCCCTCCCAGAAGCCCACGAGAGTGGCGTCAATGGCGCAAGCTGCAGTGCTGCGAAGTCCCGTCTGGATGCGCGTACTCCCCGACTCAGCCGCACCTCTCTGGAACCCACGAAAGTGGGGACCGTTGCTCAGTTCGCAGCCACCCATGAGGCAGCGCAGGAGGAGACACGAGGAGGGAAGAGGGGGAGAGGAGTCGCGACCGCGGCGCTCTATTCAAAACGAGAACCCAAGGCAGGACGGCTGGGAAAAAAGGAAGGCCTGGGCCTCGAGGACAGAGAAGGTGGCTGCCAACCGCCGAACCAAACCGTTGGCACGTCCGGAGCGCGTGGAAGATCAGGCAGCTGCTCCTGCGAGGCACCCGAAACAGGATGGGCCAGGACCCGCACACGAGGGAGGTGCCGCCGAATTCGTCGCCGCACCGTAGCATGTAAAAGAGCAAGCCTTAGAGGACATGTTCCCGTTGAGCTTCCCGAAGGCCACCAAGCTGCCAGTGGCCGTGATCCCACCGATGAGGTTCCCGAGCATCGCGCCGACCTGGCGGTCATAGGCTGGTCGCCCCATCATGGTGAGCAGCCCATGACCCTTTGGGAGCGGACCGCAGTTGAGAGGCCCCAGACGAGTGAGATGAGGGAACCTGTGCGGAAGATGTATCAAACCTGACCACCCAGATCCTCCTCTTCCTCGTCGTTCCCCCTCCTCCTCCTACTCCTCCTCCTCCTCCTCCTCCTCCTCCTCCTCCTCCTCCTCCTCCTCCTCCTCGTCGTTCCCTGCCTCATCCTGGTCCCTCCCTTGCTTTCCTCGTGAGTCTTGGATGCCAGAGCAAGCTAGACCGCCTCTGCCGGGCCCTGCCTCGTCGCGGCCGCCCGCCTCGAACGCGGGCGGTTATCTCGCCCCTCCGCCCGCCATACGTTTTGAGTCTTATCTGGTGCGTGCACTGCCTCCTGATTATCGTCATCCTCCTCCTCATCCTCCTCCTCCTCCCACTCTCATCATCATCATCATCATCATCATCATCATCATCATCATCATCATCATCATCATCATCATCATCATCATCATCATCATCATCATCATCATCA